TGATTAAAGGGACAATCCATCATGAATATATAAACATAACAAATATCTATGAACACAATGACAGCGCTCCAAAATACATGAAACAAACTCTAACAACACTGAAAAGAGAAACTGATAGTTCCACAACAAAAGCAGGAGATTTGAAAACAACACTCTAAGTAAAGGACAGAACATCTAGAAAGAAACTTGACAAAGAGACAGAAGATCTAAAGTCCACAATCAACCAACTTGACCTCATAGACATATATAGAACACTTAACCCAACAGATGCAAAGTACACACTCTTTTCCAATGCATACAGAATGTTCTCCAGAATAGATCACATTGTAGGCCACAAAGCAACCCTCAACAAAATCCAAAACACTGAGATAATACAAAGTGTCTTCTCTGATCACAATGACATCAAAGTAGGAATCAAGAACAGGAAGAGCAAGGAAAGAAAAAAAAAATCAAACACATGGAAACTGAATAACACCCTGCATAAAAACCACTGGGTAATAGAAGAAATCAAAGATGGAAAAAAAAAATTCCTAGAATCAAACAAGAATGAAAACACATCATTCCAAAATCTTTGGGATACAGCAAAGGCAGTAATCAGAGGTCAACCGATAGCAGTAGATGCACACATCAAAAAAGAAGAAAGGGACAAAACCAAAACAGGAACTACACAACTCGAACAAATAGAGGACAGCAAAAGCAGCCCATAGCCACCAGAAGAAAGGAAATAAATGAAATATAAAAAAGAAAAACAATAGAAAAAATCAACAAAACCACAAATTGGTTCTCTGAAAGGATCTACAAAATTAACAAACCACTGGCCAAACCGAATAAAGAAAAAAAGAAGAGAACGCAAATAACCCGAGTAAGAAATGAAATGGGGACATTACAACAGAACCAACTGAAACACAAAGGATCCTAACAAGAGTATTAAGAAAAACTACACTCCAGCAAATTTGAAAACCTAGAGGAAATGGAAAAATTTCTAGAAACACACTATGTACTCAAACTAACACAAAGTGAAGGTGAAAATCAGAACAGACCCGTAACAAGAGAAGAGTGAAAAGATAATAAAGACTTCAAACAAAAAAAAAAAGCCCTGGCCAAGATGGGTTCACTGAAGAGAGAAGAGCTTACACCAGTACTACTGAAACTATTTTAGAAAACAGAAACGAAGAGATATTTCAAAATTCATTGTATGAAGTCAGTATAACCCTGATACCAAAACTAGGCAAAGAGACCACAAAAAAAGGAAATTACAGACCAATATCTCCCATGAATATAGATACAAAAACTCTCATTAAAATTCTAGCCAATAGAATTCAGCACCATATCAAAAAAATAATACACCACGACCAAGTGGGATTCATACCAGGTACACAAGAAAGGTTCAATATTAGAAAATCAATCAATGAAATCTACCACATAAATAAAAGAATCACATGATCATCTCAATCGACACAGAAAAGGCATTGGACAAAGTTCAACACCCACTCCAGATAAAAACTGTCAATAAAATAGGGAAATTCCTCAACATAATAAAGGGCATCTATACAAAACCAACAGCCAACATCATTCTTAACAGAGAGTCTGGAAACATCTCTCCTAAGAACAGGAACAAGACAAGGAGGCCCTTTATCACTACTTCTATTTAACATTGCGCTGGCGGTCCTAGCTAGAGCAATAAGGCAAGAAAAGGAAATAAAGGGCATCCAAATTGGTAAGGAAGAAGTAAAACTGTCCCTATTTGGGGATGGTACGATATCATACATAGAAAACCCACAAGACTCCACGAGAAAACTACTGCAACTAACAGAAAGATTCAGCAGAGCAGCGGGATATAAGATAAACATACAAAAATCAGTCGGATTCCTGTATGCCAATGAAGAGAACAAAGAAAATGAAAACAGGAAATAGTCCCTAAATAATAAAATACTTAGGAATAAATCTAACCAGAGATGTAAAAGACCTATCTATACAAAGAAAACTACAAAACACTACCGCAAGAAACCAAAAGAGATCTACATAAATGGAAAAACATGCCATGCTCATGGCTAGGCAGACTTAACACTGTGAAAAAGTCAATTCTACCCAAAGCAATCTACAAATACAATGCAATCCCAATCTAAATATTAACAGCATTCTTTAAAGAAATGGAAAAACTAATCATTAACTTTATATGGAAAAGGAAGAGACCTTGGATACGTAAACCACTACTGAAGAATACATCAGGAAGACTCACACTACCTGACCTCAGAACCTACTGTACAGCGACAGTAGTTAAAACAGCCTGGTACTGGTACAGCAACACACACACGGACCAATGGAACAGAACTCAGAACCCAGATGTAAATTTATCCATCTATGGTCACCTGATCTTTGAAAAGGGCCCAAAGTCCATCAAATGGGGAAAAGACAGTCTTTTTAACAAACGGTGCTGGTAAAACTGGATGTTAATCTGTGAAAAAATGAATGAAACAGGACCCATACCTCACACCATACACAAAAACTAATTCAAAACGGATCAAAGGCCTAAATATAAAACCAAAAACTATAAAGATCATAGAAAAAAAAATAAACTCAATGCTACAGGCCCTAACACACAGCATTAACAGGATACAAACCATAACTAATAATACACAAACATTAGAAGATAAGCTAGATAACTAGGATTTTCTAAACATTAAACACTTATGCTCATCAAAAGACTTCACCAAAAGAGTAAAAACAGAATCTACAGACTGCGAAAAAATTTTTGGCTATGATGAATTGGACAAAGGTCTAAATTCTAAAATCCACAGGAAAATCCAACACCTCTACAACAAAAAGACAAATAATCCAATTAAAACATGGGCAAAGGATATGAACAGACACTTCACCAAAGAAGACATTTAAGTGGCTAACAGATACATGAGGAAATGTTTGCGATCACTAGCCATTAGAGAAATGCAGTTCAAAACCACAATGAGCTACCATCTTGCCCCAACATTATTCGCATGACTCAAAAAAACAGAAGATAACAAATGCTGGAGAGGCTGTGGGAGACTGGAACTCTTATGCATTGCAGGTGGGAATGCAAAATGGTACAAGCATTTTGGAAAAATGATACGGTGCTTCCTTAAAAAGCTAGAAATAGAAATACCATATGACCCAGCAATCCCACTCCTAGGAATATATCCTAGAGAAGTAAGAGCCGTCATATGAATAGACATATGCATGCCCATGTTCACTGCAGCATTTTTAAGAATAGCAAAAAGATGGAAACAACCCAGGTGCCCATCAACAGATGAATGGATAAACTATGGTACATACATACAATGGAATACTATGCAATGATAAAGAACAATGATGAATCTGTGAAGCATCTCACAACATGGACGAATCTGGAGGGCATTATGCTGAGTGAAACATGAAATACGTCAATCACAAAAGGACAAGTATTGTTTGAGACCACTACTATAAAAACTCATGAAAAGGTTTACACACAAAAAGAAACAATCTTTGATGGTTACGAGGGAGGGGAGAGGTGGAAGAAAAAAATTATACATAGACAACAGTTAAGTGGTAACTTTTGTGAAGGGTAAGACAGTACACAACACTGAGGAAGTCAGCAAAACTTGTCCAAGGCAAGGTCATGGAAGCCCCATAGACACATCCAAACGCCCTGAGGCACCAAATTACTGGGCTGAGAGCTGTGGGGACCATGGTATCAGGGAACGCCTAGCTCAATTGGCATAACATAGTTTATAAAGAAAACGTTCTACGTTTCACTTTGGTGAGCAGCATCTGGGGTCTTAAAAGCTTATGAGTGGCCATCTAAGATACTCCACTGGTCTCACCCCGTCTGGAGCCAGGGAGAATGAAGAAATCAGAGATACAAGGGAAAGATTAGTCCAAAGGACTAATGGATCACAACTACAACAGCCTCCACCAGACTGAGTCTAGCACAACTAGATGGTGCCAGACTACCATTACTGACTGCTCTGACAGGCACCACAATAGTGGGTCCCCAACAGAGCTGCAAAAAAACGTAGAACAAAATTTTAACTTACAGGGGGAAAAAAAAAAAGACCAGACTTACTGGTCTGACAGAGACCAGAGAAACCCAGAGAGGATGGCCTCCAGACACACTTACAACTTAGTCATCAAGTCACTTCTGAGGTTAACCCTTTAGCCAAAGATTGGACAGGCCTATAAAACAAAATGAGACTAAACGGGCACACCAGGCCAGGGGCAAGGACGAGAAGGCAGGAGGTGACAGGAAAGCTCATAATGGGGAACCCACGGTCAAGAAGGGGAGAGTGCTGACATGTCGTGGGGTTGGCATCCAATGTCACAAAACAGTATGTGTATTGTTTAATGAGAAACTAGTATGCTCTATAAAGCTTCATCTAACTTACAATCAAAAAGTTAAAAAAAAGAACGCAGGGGTTGCCTTTTAAAAAAATTATTTACTTTTTAATTAATTTTAACAAATAATCTACTGTTTTTATTTATATTCATAAAGAGCAACACAATAAAGAGTATGGGAAAAGAAAATAATGAAGTATAACAGCTATCTATTTGGCTGAGAAAACAAACAGAAATGGTCAAAGGCCAGTTATTTAAATTTGTTTTAATAATCCTGAAACCTATTATTATACACAGCATCACTAACCTGCCAGTGTCCTTACACTACATATACCTGGCTGAAAAGAAAGAAGCACCTCTAATTTGATGGGAAAATGAAAAGAATACTAAAAGAATGATAAATGTTTATACTGTAACCAATAGTTTTGACAGAGGTATTGAATATTTAGGAGAAGGTAATCAAAGTGAAAATCCTTAATCAAATATAAGTTTGTAACTATTATTAGGTATAAACAAAACTCTTCAGCATTTAAAAAAAAAAAGTGTATTATTTCCTTGTTCTCACTTTTCTCCCATATAATTTTCCTGCTAAGGCCAACCTCTGAAATAGGCTTAGCAAGACTAAGCAAAATAAACAGGTTACGGAGTCTTACCTTGAGTCCTGTTTTCTCATCATCACTTCCATTATTTGTAGATGGTGTCTCATCTCCTTGCCTGGAAACCAAGACAAAATCTTCACTATTAAGAGTAGATACTGAGTCTGAGGAGACACTGATTTTTCCAACAGAAGCCTTGTCATCCATGACTCAAGAATGAGTCTCAACTCATGAATGATTAAATATTTTAAAAACGCCTGAAAAACAAAAATCATAAAGATACTCATATAGAACTTCTGCCAGATATTCAATTATCCCCTAATTCTTACAAAACACATATGGAAAAACTCGAAAAAGACAAAAAAAAATCCAAAATATGTTCCGAAGACTTTTACTACAGTTTAGGCCTTTTATTTTAGACAACAAAGGAATTTCATACTGTTCAGGGCCAAGATACTTCAGATTTCAAAAAAAATAAATAAAAAAACATATTCTCTTCAGAATAACCCTAGACAAACTACAGTGATTTCTTTGGTATATGTTGCAACTCTAGGCTTGGCCTACAAATACAGTGAAGTACTAAACTTCTGTTTTCTAACCCTAAATTTGTGAAGCTGCACACATAAATGAAATTGAAAGAACTTAGAACAATAACAAAGGTTTTCCTAACATTGTTGATCCTTAAATTCAAATACTAACAACATCTTTTTAAAAAACAAAAGTTCACATTAACACCCAACAGACAGAAATTCAAGGCAGGGAAAGCATAAATTCTAAAGCTAGGAAATAAATAGTGAGAGACCCAAAGTCCGCTAATAACTCAATATCCCCCACGGTTTCTTAGAACTCAACCCAATATGAACATTACTAACAGAAGAGTTCCATGCCAAAAATCTTCAACAAAAAGTACGAACATGTATCGCTTATGAAAAGCCATTAAATTATTAATTAAGTCCTGGAATAAAACTCAAACTCATCTACCATTTTAAAATATGATTCTACATACTTTGTGGCAATTATTTCCATTTGGTTGCCAAAACAACCACAGAACAATACATTATACTCAGGGAACTTTAGCCAATTTAACAAAAGTAACTCTAGTTCTATATTTATCCTGCAAATCTCAAGGAGGTATGGTTCTGAGAGTCTGTTCAATCTCCCCAATTAAGAAGTCCTGATACAATCCCTCAGGATTATATTCAAATAATACTGTTAAAACAGATAAGGAAAAGGCAACTCCAAGAGGAGAAGTAAAATCACTTAACTAGTTACAATGACACAGCTAAGGCTAGAACCCTGGACTCTACTACTTTTTATTTAAACTTATTCCTCTGTTTGAAGACTATCACAGCTTTGCATTTCATTGGATGAAATATAAATAGCATGGCATCCAAAAACACTTCAAAATGTAGTTTTGAAAAAGTGAAAGAAAACTGTAGCTTTGACTCATCCACTCAATAAATACTGAGTGTCTAATGTACCAAACAGCAAGATATAGTAAATAAAAGAAATCAGATCCTTGCTCAGAAGAAATTTACACCTTAGTAGAGAAAAGAGACAAACTGTATAGACCAGGCGTACTGATTTAGGGTAAAGAAAACTATAGAAATATGTTGGCAGAGGGGTTAACTTACACTTGGAAAATTAAGAAATATTTTAGATGAGGTAACGTCTTTGCTGAGAATATATACTTTAATATCTCCAGGAATCTGCCCTGGTAGCATCCTTTTTTCTTTTTTTGCAAAATATTAAAGATTTCATCTTTAAATGAAGCGTTACCTTTCTTTTTTTTTTTATTGTTGTAATAAATGAAGTTTACATTTCAAGTTAGTCTCCCACATAGAATTTTTTTTTTACGTACATCCTTAGGAGACCCCAACTGCTCACCCCATTCTGCGTCAGCACACTCCTCCCCTCCGCCTCTGATTCCCCCATGAACGTTCAACAAGCTCCTAACTGTCTCCGCCTTCCCATCTCACCTCTGGACAGAAGCTGCCCCTTTGGTCTCTTGTATCTACTTGACTAAGAGGCACATTCTTCACAACTATCACTTTATGCCCCACAATTCAGTCCAATCCCTGTCTGAAGAGTTGGCCTTGAAAATTGTTTTAGTTCTGGGGTGATAGACAGTCTGGGGGCCATGCTTTCCGGGGCACCTCCACTCTCAAGTCAGACCATTAAGTCTGGTGTTCTTACTAGAATTTGAGTTCCGCATCCATCAGGGACCCTCTGTTGTGTTCCCTGTCACGACATTCATTGGTGGTAGCCGGGCACCATCTAGTTCTTGCGGTCTCAGGCTGATGAAGTCTCTGGTTTATTTGGCACATTCTGTCTCTCGGGCTCATACTTTCCTTGTGTCTTTCGTGTTCTTCCTTCTCCTTTACTCCAAGTGGTTGGGACCAACTGACACATCTTACATGGCCTCTTGCAAGCTTTTAAGACCCCAGACGACACTCACCGAAGCAGGATGCAGAACATTGTCTTAATAAGCTTTATGCCAATTGACCTAGATGTCCCCTGAAAGCATGGTCCCCAGACCCCTACCCCTGCTACTCTGTCTCTCAAACTATTTGACTGTACTGAGAAAACTTCTTAGCTATGGTTTAATCCAGTTGTGCAGGCTTCCCCTGTAGTGTGTGCTGTCCTTCCCTTCACCTAAGATGATTCTTATCTACTATCTAG